GAAATCTATAAGGTAATTAGTAACTACTTTGAATACTTGTACTTTAGTAAACTGAAGACTCTAAAAGGAATGGATACATCCCTGAATACATGTAGATTACCAAAACTGAACCCAGATATGAAAACCCAGAATAATGAATAACAGGCAATGAATATGCAACACTAATAAAAAAAACCTACATACTAAGTAAAGCCCAGGGCCCAGTGGCTTCACCACTGAATTGTACAAGAACTTCAGGGAAGATCACCAATATTCCTCAGAGTCTGTAATGAAACTGAAAGGAAGGTGTACAGCTAAAGTCAACCCCGAAGCTGGCATTACCCTGATCTCAAGACCAGAAAAGGACCCAATAAAGAACTACAGGCAACCTCTTTATTGAGCACAGATGCAAAAGCCCTCAACAAGATACTGGCGAACAATGCAACAAATTAGCTGAAAGGTCATATATACATCATGAACACACAGCCTTCATCCCAGGGATGGTTCAGCATACGCAAATCAACAATACCACAGAAACAGTGGCAAAAACCACTCAATCATTTCAACAGACACAGAAAAAGCCTTTGGCGAAATCCAGTATCCATTCATGATTTAAAAAAAAAAAAAAAAAACACTGAAGGAAAAAGGTATAGAGGACCTCATTTCAATTCGATAAAAGTCATTTATGACGAAGCTACTGCCACCATCATATTAAATTGAAAAAAGCTGAAAACATTCTCTCTAAAATCAGAATAAGCCGGTGTGGTAGCACATGCCAATAATTTCAAACTTCGAAGGCTGAGGCAGGAGAACCACCCTCCAAAGCCAGCCTGAGCTACATAGTGAGCTTAAGCCCAGCTGAACTACCCAGTGAGACCCTGGCTCAAAAACCCAAATAAATGAATAAATAACAATAGAATCAGGAACAACATAAGGCTATCCCCACTATCATCATTCCTGTTCAATATAGTACTTGAAAGATTAGCCAGTGCAATCAACCAGAAGAAAATAAAAGGATATATACATGGAAGAAGTCAAATCATCATTGCAAGTGACATGATCTTCTGCATAGAAGACCCAAAAAATTCCACCGACAGTCTCCTAGAATAACCAAATTCAGCAATGTAGCACAATACAAAATTAACACACAAAAATCAATAGGTCCCTATATACCAATAATGAACTCACTGAGAACTTAGAAAAACAACGCAATTCACAATACCATAAAGAAAAATTAAACACTTAGGAATTAACCTAACCAAGGAGGCTACAATGAAAAACACGGTACTCTGAAAAAGAAGATGGCAGAAAATAGAAATAGCCAGGTGTGGTGGTATATGCATGTAATCCCGGCACTTGGGAGGCTGAACCAGGAGGATCCCCACAAGTACAAGGTCATCACGAGCTACACAGCAAGTCCTTGTTGGAAGAAAGAACAGAAGGAAAAAAAAAAAAACCAGAAAGGGAAAATAAATAGAAATAGATAACCCTTGTATCTAGGTAGGAATAACCAATACTGTCAAAATGGCCACATTACCAAAAGTGGCATCTAAACTTAACGCAGTCCCAATCAAAGTACCAGCAGCACCCCCTGTAGAACTCACAAAAACAATCTTTAGCTCCAGGAAGGGGGGGTTGGCTTTTTTTTTTTTAGACAGAGCCTCCTTATATATCTCAAGCTGACACTGACTCACTCCGAAGCCCAGGCTAACATCAAACTTGCAGTGACCCTCCTGCCTCAGTCTCCCAAGTGCTGGGATTACAGGTGTGCACCGCCACACCTGGGGCAGTAAAAATCAAATTAAAAAACATCTTGAGCCAGGCAAGGTAGTGCATGCTTGTAATTCCAGGACTTAGGAGGCAGAGGCAAGATGATCACTGTGAGTTGGGGGCCACTCTGGTCTACAAAGTGAGTTTAAGGCCAGCCTGAACTACATAGTGAAACACTGTCTCAAAAAGACAAAAAGACCAAAGGAAAAAATAAATAAAAACTTCTTGAACATCAAAGGAACTTAAAAGTGAAGAATTGGGAAAAATTTTTGCCAGCTACACTTCAGATAGTTAATGATATTTAGAATATATAAAGAACTCCAAGAAACTAGACCTCCCCAAAATAAAAGATTCAATGGAACACCTGGATCTCCAACACGAGGACGGCTGAGGAAGGTGGATCCCCACAAATTGAGGCCAACCTGGACTTCATAGTGAGACCCTGTCTTAAATCCCCCACCAAAACAAAAACAAAAACAAGACAACAGAGACAAACACTTCTCTAAAGTACACATAACCAATAAACACATCAGAAATGTTCACATCTCTGGCCACTAGAGAAATGCAAATTAAAACAACAGAGATTCCATCTTACTCCAAAAAACCAGCCATCATCAAGAAATCAGTAATAACAAATATTGGTGAGAATGTGGGGAAAAAGGATCTATTCTACATTGTTGGCAGGAATATAAACCAGTGTGACCACGAGGGAGATTCCTCAGAGAGTCAGAATTGAAGTTCTATTTGATCCAGCTATTTCCCTTCTAGGTATCTTCCTGAAAAGTTAGACCACCACAGTAATTCATGCATACTCATGTTCATAGCAGCATAACGCTTAATAGCTAAATCCTCGAAGCAGCCTGTATGTCCATCAACACTCGAATAGATTAAAAATGTGGTATTTACACACATAGAGTACTACTCTGGGAAAAGGACAAATGAATCATCTGTAGGAAAATAGATGCACCTTGAGACCATAATTTTAAGTGAAATAAATCAAGACATTCAAGCTTGCCAGCAAGTTGTATCCCCGGTACCCGCCCCCCAAAATGTAGAGATAAAAAAGATACTAATAAGATAGACCGTTTACACATGGTAAGAAGAAAAGACCTGCAGGGTGAAGGAAGGAGAAGTAAAAAGAAGATGCATTCTGTACATGCATCAACTGGCACAATGAATGCGATTACTGCCAACATGGACTAATAAAGTTTTTTACATTTTGAAAATGTAAGTTGAGAAAATCTGCTACGTTCATAACAGACCACCTTGCTTCCATCCTTCCCTACCCCTTTTCAGTCTAGTAGCCATGAAATCCACCGACAGAGTTAGGCATGGTGGGACATGCCTGCAACTTGCACTCTGCGAGGCATAGGCAGGAGGATCAAACCCAGCAGGCGCAATTTGGCTCAACACCCTGTCTGGAAAAATAAAACAAGTCTGGGGACGTGGCTTAGTGAGAAGGTTTCCGGTTCAATCCCCTGTACAGCCAAAAAATAGAAAGCAAAACACGTAAAACAAATAGGTCGAGGTCCTCCCACTTGATGTTGCAAGAAGCAAACAGCAGTCAGCAACCCTGACCACCCCTACCTAGCTCGCTCCACGCGGATAGCTCTGGACTCCTGGCAGCTGCTTTCGCAGATTCCCTCCGCCGGGACTGCCCTGCCCTCTGCCCTGCCCTCGGCATCCATTGGAGCACTGGACCTCAGCGGGCTCGCTGCAACCACTCTAACAGGATCCCGCGCCGGCTGGCCTCTCTTCCTTCTTAACGCGCTTGAGTTTGTCCTTTTCTCCACAGAACTCAGGCTATCTAGTAGTTACATAACTTCCTTATTACATTTATGGCCCGTCTCTCCCAGGCGAGTGACAGATCCCCATGGGAGGGCTGGGTTCGTATGGCTTACAGCTGCACCTTAAGTATCCGCGATGTGCCGGGCACAAGACAGATGCTCACTGTATTTGGTGAGTAAATCAAAATTGACTCCCCGTAGTGTTCTCGGTCATGTGACAACGCGCTCTGCCTGGGCTGCCGGCGCACAAAGCCTCTCCTAGCAGGCTGACTCCTGCCTGCGGGTAAATGGGTAAAACGCGACGTGAAAGTCTGGTAAACAAAGGATCAGACCCGAGGGCTCTGCACCAGCGCACGCTGTCACGCCCAGCTGGCACCGCGGGAGAGGGGTTCTGCAGAAGGTTGCGAGGCGTAGCCAGTCACCAACGCGACCTAGGCCAGCCGTGATCCCACTGAGCAGCGATCTCTAAGACTCGGGCGAGGAGAGAGCCCTCCTTCGGCCGGATCGCCCAGTCCCGCTCCTCTCTGCTGCACACTGACTCAGAAAGCAGACCGCACAGAAGCGATCCGCAGGGACTCGGGCTCAGACACCGTTCCGCAAAGGGCTGGGGTCGCCTCGGAACTCTCCCTTCTCGCGCGCGCACGGGAAGTACGGAACCGGAGCCTCCCAAACCGGACGCCCCGCAGACCCGAGGCCGGGCCGCCTCTGCGCCGTCCCCGCCGGAGCCTGCACTCACCTGCCGCTCCATGTCCGCCTCGGGCGCACACACGCGGGGAGTGCGAGGCGAGGGGAGGGACCGCGCGCCCAAGGCTCGCGACACGCAGCACGCGCACTCCGGCCCCGGACAGACACCGGCAGTCACCAGCAGACACCAACCCCGCGCCCCACCACACCCGCCACTTTTGAATTTCAACGGTCACCACCCTGCCTCACCACGCTCCGCATGCAGGGGCCAATCGTCGCTGTCGCCACAGCCGAGGGCCAATCACATAGCCCTCCGCCACCCAAGGCCACACCCACGCGGCCGGCACCTCCTCCTTCCAGTTTCGCGGGCCGGGACGTCAGCGCAGCTGATCCCACTTCCGGCCTCGCTTTTCCCTCCAGCCTCCCTTGCACCTGTGCTCGGCGCGCTGGACTTCCGCTCGGCTCTCCGGCGCTACTACGTCAAAGAATGCGCAGAAGACGCCGCACGAACGTAATGGGCTGAGTGCTGAGCGTACCTGGTGTGGAGGGACGGGCTGGACGACCCCGGAAGGGAACTACGCGTGCGCACCTGGACTCTTGCCGGGTGCAAGGCGGAGCGTATGCCTCCTAGCGGCGCAGTGGGGGAGCGCACGCTTAATCCCTTAGCCGGTCATCGTGACCGGAGCTCGAGCACGGCCTCTGCTGGTCGGGTTGAACCGGTGCTGGCAGTGAGCGCTGCCGCGGTCATTTTGTCATTTCTCACCAAATTTAAGGACCAACCTGGAGCTCCACGGAACCGGAAGTTTCTCTGCAGTCCCCTCTCACCCGTCCTCTGCGAAGCTGGGCACTGTGGCTGGTGCTGGTGAACCGTTGGGGGCTCGCACGCTGGGCTTACTGCTTCCACTTGTGGAGTGCTTTATGCTTTTCAGACTGAATGTGCATTATCTCGTCCACCAGTGGCAAAAGTTCACTGAGTTCTTACCAAGTGCTTCGCGTTTATCTGCAAGATAGCTGAAGGGCACAGATTTGGAAAGGATCGGTGTCAAATACAGGACAAGGTCACATTGCTGTTTGTGAGGTGGACCAGATCCACATGCCCTCTGCCAGTCCTAGGAACCTCTTGTGTATAAAAAATCCACTACTTTGCCAAATAGTTACCAGACTGATTGATTTTGCCGAGTTTCCATCCAATCCTGCGGGCAGGACAGGGCTTTATGTACGGGCAAACCTTAGGGAACTTGGTTTGTGCTAATTGTTTGGACACCTGTGTCTCATACTCTGAATACTACAAAGACAGTATGCAACGTATTAATTATTGTAATCACCCTACTAATCTGTCTTGAAACTCTTATTGTTAGTTTTTCTCTTAAATAAACTATCATTGTAAAACATTTTTTTAAAACATAGGGGACTTGGCTGGTCCGAGTGTAGTGGTGTTTACAACTAATTGAGCACAACCAGTTACAGATTTCTTTGTTCTTTCTCCACTACACTGCCTCACTTGACTAGCCAAAAAAAAAAAAAAAAAAAACCACCAAAAAACCATAGGGGACTTTAAGATCTGTCAGTCTAGGAATTTAGGACTGAAACGAGAGCTGCCTGGCTTCAACTTGGCTTCAAACCCACTGTGGAAGAGCGCAGACCAGGGAGACACTGTGAAATCCCTGTTAGGATCCCCAGACTTTTTTTTTTTTTTCCTGTCTTGTGAGACAGGGTCTCACTATGCAGTTCAGGCTGGCCTTGAGTTCACTTTGTTGCATATGTTGGTCTTGAACATGCAATAACCCTGCTGCCTCAACCTCCTGAGTGCTAGGATTAAAGGCATGTGCCACCATGCCTGGCAGCCATCTAGGGTATCATTTCTCTTTGATACCCCAGGAGTCAAAAAGCAGGAGCTTGAAGAGAGACATTAAAAAGACATAAAGAGGGAAAGCTAGGCTTGGTAAGCATTATTGTAATCCCAGTACTCAGGAGGCTGAGGCAGGAGAGTCCTCAATGAGTTCTCAAAGAACAAAAAGGAGAAGGAGAAAGAGGAGGAGGAGAAAGAGAACTGGAGAATACTCAATGGATAGTAAGAAGGGAGGCTTGAGGGGTAGATAACGAATGACATTTATCAGAGCTAAACAGATGGGCGGGGGATTTAGCTCTGTGGCATAAGCACCTGCCTGGCAAGCTTAAGGTCATGAGTTTGATCCCCAGCACCAAAAATAAAATAAATTTTTTAAAAAGCTAAAACAGATATTTGAGTAGGAGACATAAGGACCCATTATAGATTAAAAGGGGACATTTCTTTATGTTGTTGTTGTTGTTAGACAGAATCTTGCCATTTAGGCAAAATCTTTTTCAAGGCTTATCTTGAACTCACTATGTAGCCCAGGCTGGGCATAAACTCAAAGTGATCCTCCTGCCTCAGCCACTCAAATGCTCGGATTGTAGGGGTACATCACCACACTGGACTATTCGTTTCACTTGATGCAGAAAAATATTCTGTTTTTTGATACTAAAAGAAAAATAGAGTCAGCCGGGTGTAGTGGTACACGCCTATAATCGCAGCACTTGGGAGGCTGAGGCAGGAGGATCAAAAGTTGCAAATTCCAGACCAGCCTGGGCTACAAAGTGAGTTCAAGGCCAGCCTGAACTGGATAGAGACTCTGTCTCAAAAAGACAAAAAAAAAAAAAAAAAAAAAAAAAAAGAAAAATAGAATCAGGTGTGGTTGTATACATATATAATCCCTATCTCAAAAAACCAAAACCAAAATAAAATAAAAACAAAAAGAAGGAAAGAAAGAAAAAAAATCCTATAACCTGATAAAGGACATTTTCAAAACATAGCACCATAAAGGGGAGAAGCTGAAAGTATTCCTCTTAAAATGAGGCTCAGGGCAAAGATGGCTGCTGTTGATAGTCCTCATCAATGTCAAAGTGGAAGTTTTAGTCCAATAGCAACACATGTATAAGGATTGGAAAGAAGCAAGAATGTCAGCATTTGCAAATGGAATTATTGCATGTTGCATGTGTAGTAAGCATAAAAGAAAATTCAGATAGAATTAGTGAGTTCAGCAAAATTACTGTATATAAAATAAATACAGTGGGCTGGGGATTTAGCTCAGCAGCATAAGCACCTGCCATGCAAGCAGGCAGTTGTGAGTTCGATCCCCGGTACTGATAAAAAACAAAAACAAAAAAATATGGCAAAATCGATATACCAAGTCAACTTTAAGAGAAAAAAAAATCAATTTCTGTTATCAGCGAGGCCCCTTAGAAAGTGTAACATTAGGGCTGGGCGTGTGGTTCTGTGGTAGAGTCCTTGCCTCGAATGTGTAAAACCCCAGTGCCATGCCCCAAAAAACAAGCCAGGTGTGGTGCTGCATGCCTGTAATCCCAGGACTCAGGAGGTTGAAGCAGGAGTTTGAGACCTTCCTGAGCTACATGGTGAATTCAGGGTCAGCCCAAATTACACAGTGAGACCCTGTCTCAAAAATGAATGAAAGGCCAGGAATTTAGCTCAGCAGTACAAGCATCTGCCTGGCAAGTGCTAGGTCGTGAGTTCAATCCCCAGTACCAAAAAAAAAAAAAAGTTTCTCCTTAAAGAGCTAGGGATTTAGCTCAGTGGCCTAAGTGCCTGCCTGGCAAGTGCTAGGTTGTGAGTTTGAGCCCCAGTACCAAAAAAAAAAAAAAAAAAAAAGAATGAAAGAGAGTAACTTTCAACAGTGCAACACTGTACTGTTTCATTATATGAATGTATACATGTCAAAATCAAACTGTAGGGCTGGGGATTTAGCTCAGTGGCATAAGTACCTGCCTTGCAAGCAGGCAGTCGTGAGTTCGATCCCTGGTACCGATAAAAAGGCAAAAAAAAAAAAAAAAAATCAAACTGTACTGTTGATTTGTGTATTATATCTTGTACCTCAGTACAATTTTAATAAAAAATATACCATTTAAGATAGAAACAAAAATATAAAACAGTAATAAAAATGTTTTTTGAGACAGGATCAGGCTGTCTGTGAACTATGTAGCCCAGGCTGGCCTTAAACTTGAAGTGATCTTCCTGCCTCAGCATCCCAAGTCATGAGATTAAAGCATATACCACCACTCCTGGCTAGGAACAATTCAGCAGTAAATTGTTACCCCTTGGTGGAGAAAATGATGAGATACAAAATAAAATCTAAATAAAGGGAAATACATACTATATACATGGAGAAGAAGACTTGATGTTGTGAAAAAGCCACTTTTCTTCCAATGCTTTGGTACTAGCCCAGCTTGGTGGCAGATGCTTCTGTGCCTGATGCTACTTGAGTCTCCAGTCTGACTACCTCAGGAGCAGTTTGAGTGGCACAGCCCTGGGCAGTCCCTTACTTTCCTAAAGCCACCCTGCAGGTTAGGGGGAATTTTTTATTTAGAACGTGTGCTTTCAGAGCCCATGTCCCTTCCTCCCTCTGTTTTCCCCTTGGTTTCTGATTCATTCAGGCCTTATATTTCTCATGCCTTTCTTTCCAGCTCAACTCCTGGACCAGAGACGAGCCCCACCTACCTACACTCTTAGCTGTTACCCTTTCAGATGGGGGAATAATCACTTAACTTCATTCCTCCTAACCCCACACTTATTTTCCAGAATTTTACCTCACCATGGTCCTGATGGAATGGCATATTTAAATCAAAGACACCTTTCCTTCTACCTCCTCTGGTCCTTAAATATGACAGTGGCCTTTCTCCTCAGAGCACCTTGTCTCTTTGTTTCTACAGTCTAAGATGCGGGCATTCACCAGTGATGAAGTTGTCCTGGCTGAAACACCTGGCACCAGCTTCTACATGGGCATCAACTATCATCCCGTCAACCTTCCTGAACCCCAATATGGTGCCCCCTTTTCAGCAGGAAGTAGTAAGAGAGAGACCTCGCCCTTATCCTAACAATACAAAGATGGGAATGAAAGGTTCTTGCCCTGGTATAAATTACTGTACGATTATGGCGGTGGTCTAACGTGGTGGAAGGCCAAAGCAGGACGCCTACCACTTCCTGCTTCTTCTTCAGCTTAATTGCAACCCCCGTTCCTGTTTGTGCAGGAAGAAAACTCCAATTAGCTCTTCGAGCGTCATCAATGCCTGCCCTAAGCACCACCCCCGGTCAGAGGTTATATGTAGATCCCATGGCCCAGGTTTCCGGTCAGAGGGACCCAGGCCATCCATGGTCATGGACTTCTCTCCACGTCCTTGGAATAAAGACTATTTTTTCTTTATATTCTCTCTTTTATCATACCGAAAACTCTTTCAGTTTCCTTTACAGATCTCCCAGGCCTTGTGAGAGATGGCAAGATACACTGTGATGCTACTGTCAGTACCCATGGCAAAAAGAACTACTGAGGCAGGAGATGAGGGCGTGACAGAGTGGCTGGAAAACAGGATGGAACCCAAGGCAGAAGAGAGGCTGAGCAACGGGATGGGGTCTGTCAATCACAGCCAGATGCACGGCACAGCAACTTCCAATGGCCCAAGTTTTGGAGGACATGAAAGATGGCGGCCATGAGTTTGCCGCCTGTGCAAGCTTGTCCATCCTGCTTGCGGGACATATCTCTTCTTGCCTCTCTTTTATTGTTCACTATTTTTTCCTCTTCCTTTTTTCTCTTTTCTTCACTCTCTGCTTTTCCTTCCTTTACTTTAAATAGAAGTTACAAGAACCACCCAGCATCTGCGAGATCTGCGCCATGTTGGAACTTAGGGCACTAGACACCAAGCAACCAGCCCGCCTCCCTGTTAAGCAGCCGTGAGCCCACAGCTGCGCAGGCTGAGAATGAAACATCCCATCTCCCCCTTCCACCATCTCTTTGAAGGCAAATATTGTTATCACTGTTTTGCTTTGTTCTGGTTAATGGTATTGCTCTATTCAATATTCTGTTTTGATAGGTTTTATAATGTTCTGTATTTGGTTTGATTTTCATGTACCTGATTGAAAGGACAACTGTTGTGAGGATAACAAGATATACTATGGCACCTATTACTGTTATCCCAGTAACCCGCTGTGCAGTTCTGTACCAGCTTCACTGCATTGTCTCAACTGGCTATGTCCTGTCTTGTTTTGTTGTATTTCACTACATT